GGCAGAGAGAGAAGGAGACACAGAATCCGAAGCAGGCTCCAGGCTCCGAGCTGTTAGCACAGAGCCCAACGCGGGGCTCAAACTCACAAACTGCGAGATCATGACCTGAGTCGAAGCTGGACGCCCAACTGACTAAGCCACTCAGGCACCCAAGTAGGATATTCTTTAATCTCCAAGTATTCATGGTCTTCCCAAATTTTTTTGTGGTTGATTTCAAGTTTCATAGCATTGTGATCTGAAAATATGCATAGTATGATATCGATCTTTTTGTACCTGTTGAGGGTTGATTTTGTGAACCAGTATGTAATATATTCTGGAGACTGTTCCATGGGAACTCCAGAAGAATGTGTATTCCAATGCTTTAAGATGAAATATTCTGGATATATCTGTTAAGTCCATCTGGTTCAATATGTCATTCAAAGCCATTGTTTCCTTATTTTCTGCTTGGATATCTGTCCATTGCTGTAAGTGGGTGTTAAAGTCCCCTACTATTATGGTATTATGATCAATTGTTTGTTTGTGGTTAATTGATTTATATTTGGGTGCTTTCAAGTTGGGGGTATAAATATTTACAAGTGTTAGATCTTCTTGGTGGATAGATTCCTTAATTATGGTATATTTCTCTTCTTCATCTCTTCTTACAGTCTTTCCTTTAAAATCTACTTTGTCTGATACAAGTATGGCTACTCCAGCTTTCTTTTGACATCCATTAGCATGATAGATGGATCTCCATTCCCTTCCTTTCAATCTGCAGGTATCTTTAGGGATAAAATAAGTCTTTTATATGCAGCATATATATGGCCCTTATTTTTTTTTTTTTTATACATTCCAATACCCTGTGTCTTTTGATTGGAGCATTTAGTTCATTTACATTTAGAGTGACTATTGAAAGATATGAATTTAGTGCCATTGTGTTGCATGTAGAGTTGGTGCTTCTGGTGATGTTCTCTGGTCCTTTCTAGTCTTTGTTGCGTTTGGCCTTTCTTGTTTTGTTTTGCATTTTCTCCAAAGAGTCCTCCTTAAAATTTCCTGCAGCGATGGTTTAGTGGTCATGAATTCCTTTAGTTTTTTTTTTTTTTTTTTTTTTTTTTTTTTTTTTTTTTTTTTTTTGGTCTAGGAAACCCTTTATCTCTCCTATTTTGAATGACAGCCTTGCTGGATAAGGAATTCTTGACCGCATATTTTTCTTTTTCAGCACGTTGAATATATCCTACCATTCCTTTCTACCCTGCTGAGTTGCTGTGGATAGGTCTGCTGCAAACCTAATCTGTCTTCCTTTGTAGGTTAAGGAATTTTTTTCCTATTGTTGCTTTCAAGATTCTTTCCTTGTCTGTGTATTTTTGTGAATTTGACTATGATATGGTTGGTGACGGCCAGTTTTTGTGGAATCTAATGATGCGAGTTCTCTGTGCTTCTTGGATTTTGATATCTGTGTCTTCCCCAGATTAGGATAGTTTTGTACTATAATTTGCTCACATAAACTTTCTGTCCCTTTTTCTCTTTTTTCTTCTTCTGGGACTCCTATGATTTGAATATTATTCCTTTTTAATAAGTCACTGAGTTCTCTAAGTCTTGTATTGTTATCTTTGGACTTTCTTTTTTTCTGCTTCATTATTTTCCATAATTTTGTCTTCTATTTCAGTGATTCACTGCTCTGC